AAGAAAAATTAACTACTTTGGAATTATCCTAACCAAGGAAGTGAAAGACCCATACAAGAAAACTACAATAAAAAAAAATCAAACGGTATCATAAGAAGATGGAAAGATAGCTACTGTTCTTGAATAGCCAGAATAAACAGTCAAAAGAGCCATATTTGTAAAATTGATAGGCAGATTTAATGCAATCCCAATGAAAACAGCAACAGCACTCTTCACAGAGTGAGATAAATAATCCTAAAATTCATATGGAACCAGGAGAGATCCAGAATAGCAAAAGCAATATAAGGTAATAAGAGAAAAGCAGGTGGCATCACAGCCCCAAATTGCAAGTTATTTCAAGGCTACCATGTTAAAGGCAGCATGATACTGGCCCCCAAACAGACTTGTGGATCAATGGGACAAAATAGAAGATTAAAAAAAAAAAGCAAAACAACCCTGTGGTCACATAATCTGATCTTTGACAAAGGGGTCCAAAACATGCCATGGAGGAAGATAGCTTCTCTAATAAATGGTACTGGAACTGGCTCTCCACATGCAAAAGCCTGAAGCCAGACTGTATCTCTCATTATGTGCTAAAGTAAAATCAAAATGGATTGAAGATCTAAATGTTAAAACAGAAACATCCAGTCTACTGAAAGATAAAACAGAGAGCACTCTTTCAGCCAGAGGTGTAGGCAAGGACTTTTTTTAAAAAAAACAGAACCCCAAGTTCAGAAAAAACAAATCAAAAGGGCCAGAGGTGTGGGGCTTGGTGATGTACACCTGTAACCCCAGCATTCAGAAGGCAGAGGCAGGAAGATCATTGTGAGTTCAAGACTAGCCTGAACAACAAAGTGAGTTTAAGGCCAGAATGTATAATTCCAGCATTTGAGAGGCTGAGGGAGGCAGGAGGATCACCACAAGTTCTAGAACAGCTTAAGGTAGATGGTCAGTTCAAGACCAGTGAATCTGAACTATATAGCAAAGACTCTGCCCCCAAAAAACAAAAAGGAAAAAACAAACAACAATCTCCCCCCCCCCAAAAAAAACGCCCAAATAACATCAAGAATCAACAAATGGGATCATATCAAATTAAAAAGTTTCCGCACATTAAAGGAAACAATCAACAGAGTAAAGAATCAACTGAATAGGAAAAAAGTTCCAGGTATTCCTCAGACAGAGAACTAATACTCAGAATATGTAAAGAACTAAAAAAATTGAAACTTATAAAATAAAAGACCCAATCAAATTGCCAGCCAGATAGCTCAGCCGACTAAAGTACCTGCTTAGGCAGACGCAGTTACTGGAGTTCAATCTCTGGTATGCCCTGCTGGCCCTGTCCCTGGGGTGCACTGAGACAGCGACTGAGACTGGGTGTGGTGGAGTACACCTGTAATCCCAGTGCTTGGTAGGCTGAAAACAGGAGAATTACTATGAGTCAGATCTGTGTAGTGAGACTCTGTAACCCTGTACTAAATACATTTTTTTTTAAAAAGGAAGACCCAGGGGCTGGTGAGATGGCTCAGTGGTCTAAAGCACCTTCTTAGAACAAGCTTAGCAAAGCACAGGGACTGCAGTTCAATCCCCCAGCACCACATGCCAGTCAGCCCCGCCCCAGATGGGCTGAGCTGGCCACACACACAAATAAATAAAATAAAATAAAATAAAATAAAAAAGGAAGACCCAATCAAAAAATGGACAACTGGGGGCTGAGGACATTGCTCAGCAGTCTAAATGTCTGGCTGGCAAGCGTAAGAATCCAGGTTCCATCCTCAGTACTGCATGCCATGTTGGCCTGGTGCTGAGCTTGCCACTGAAACCAGGGGTGGTGGCACATATCCATAATCCCAGTGCTGGGGAGGCTGAGACAGGAGGATCACTAAGAGTCTGAGCTGTGTAGCAAGACCCTGTACCAAATAAATAAGTAAAAGATTAAAAAAAAAATTAAAAAAAACCCATAAATACATGACAAAGTGTTCTGTTCAGCCTCTCTGGCCATTAGTGAAATGCGAATTAAAATAACACTGAGATTCCGCATTATTCTACAATGAATATTTATCATCGGGAAAAATAAAATAACATTAAATGCTGGCAAAGTTGTGAGGAATAAAAAGAATCCTACATTACTGGGGGGAGGATAAACTACTTCAACCATTATGAAAACCAGTGCAGAGCAGGGCTGGTGAGATGGCTTAGTGGTCTAAAGCACCTACTTAGAACAAGCTTAGCAAAGCACAGGGACTGCGGTTCAATCCCCCAGCACCACATGCCAGCCAGCCCCGCCCCCTGGTGGGCTAAGCTGGCCACACACACACACACACACACACACATAAATAATAAAAAAGAAATGGCTCTTTTAAATTAATAAAAAAAAAAAGAAAAGAAAACCAGTGCAGAGATTCCTCAAAAAGATAAAACCAGAAATTCTGTTCAACCCAGATGCCCCCCTTCTAGGTATTTTTCCAAAAGACATAAAGACCTTGCAGTACTGTGGTACACACATGTCCACGTTTACAGCAGCACAGTTCATAATAGTGGAATCTTGGTAGTGGACTATGCATCCACCAGCCCATGAATGGATCAAGAAAATGTAGTATTTATACATGATGGAACACTACTCTGCCACAAATGTGGATCAACTTGAGTCATTTTTAGAGAAGTGGATGCACCTTGCGACTGCAATATTGAATAGAACGAATCCAGGCACACGAGCTTAAACATTGCAGGGTTTCTCTTACGTGTGAAAGCCAAAACATAAAAAGCAAAAGCAAGGGGCTGGGGAGATGGCTCAGTGGGATAAGTGCTTGACTGGCAAATGCAAGGATCTGAGTTAAATCCCCGGTTCCGAAAGAAAAAAAAAAAAAAAAAGGCAAAAGCAAAGATAGATAACAGGAAGTAGGAAGGTAGGTCTTTTGCAGATGAGAATGAGACCAAGAGATGAAGGGGGATGGGGAAATGGGAGAAGAGAATGAAAAGGAGTTAAGCTGTGGTATGCACATGTACCAGCTCCCCCTGAGAAAAGCAGTCACTGTGGACTACACACATGCACTACTTTAAAAAACACAGAGTACAAGTGCCCACTTATACTTTCATACTATATTTATGGCTATGTTTTGGATTGTATAGATTAACAAATAATAGCTCAACAACCACATAAGCTCCGCTGTTTGGGGACAAGTGGAAGTCAATGAACCCTGGAGATTCCCAGTTTCCTTCTGATCATCCTGCCACATAATGTTTTACACAGAAGCAATTTCCAGAGCTTCTTGTGTGTTCCTGGGTTTTGATCTTTGGGGAAGAGTTGTGGTGTGCAACCCAGAAACTAGTCAGGAATTCTTATTTGTCCTCTTGTAGACCTCCAAAGGGAGAAGAGAAGATTTTGGGGGCAACTGAACTCTTGAGGATTGTCCAGTGGTCAGCACGGTGGTGAGTACAGCACTAATGAATGAGACACATCCTCGAAATGGCCCATGAATTGCACCAAGTTTAACATTGCATCAGCACAGAAAGCCCTTGGATAATAGCAGGTTTGGGGGTTTTAATTGTTATTATAAGCAAAAGTTAGAGAGAAGAAAAGGAAGCACTGTCTAAGGTTCAACAGTCAACAGCATATTCTGTTGGAGGGGCCAGATTTCTTTTTCTCATTAAAATTGTTGGGGAGAAAAACAGGGAAAAAGCCAGAGGCAGAAGATGGGAACATGGGTTGTGCCTGCATACGAACTTGAAAAAGAAAATGTTCCTTCATAACTGAACTTGATATGCTGTCCAGCTCCGTTTACGTCTCTTCTGGGACATGGACCACATCCTCAGTCTGAGTCCTGGTATTGTTTCATGAACCTTTGAAATCAAAAAGACTTACAGCATCCCATGTAAAGAAACAAAAGGACAAGAAAAAAGAAATCTAACCTTGCCTTTCTTCCTGGATGTCATCTTTTCCTCCCTTGGAAGAGCTCGCCCAGGGCTCCCAGTTCAGCCCTCTATGCTGATTTTACTCCTCTTGCTGTGTGGCGGTCCTTGGAAGACAGACTCAGGGTTCATTTTCAATTGGAGTAATGATGGAATTCACCTTTTCTCCCTGTCACATAGCTTTCCAGGAGCTTTTAAAGAAACCATTGCAGTTACAGCGCCCTAGGCAGGAGCCATAATGCACGCGTCGGCAGCTGCTCTTTCTGCAACCTGGAAGCACAATGCTTTCTCACTCCTCTCCATAAAAGTATTTGAGAATGTTGTCAACTTTTCAAAAATCCCTAAGAGCTGCAATGGGGAAAAATCAACTTCTGTTCTAAAATGGAAAGCTTTCAGATTTAATAAACTTAAACAGAATGTGAAGATCTCATTAGTGCCTGAAAAGTCCCTTCTTTTTTCTCTTTAAGAGGGGGTTGAGGCTGCCCCGGGAGTGAATTCCAAAGAGGCTTAGTGGCCTGGCCTAAGGAAGCTCCACTTGCACAAAGCAGGCTCTACTTCTTGGATTTGTCCAACAGCCTCAGAAGGGGTTTGGGAACTCACCCAGGAAACCCCTTACTGGGTGAGTTTGGAGGAAAAATATGGGTCTTGGGATTTCAAGTTCTGATCTCATGTTCTGGCTGTCACCCATCTGCTGTGAGGTTTGTGAAGAGTGACTTAATGTTGGATAAACCTTCTTTTCTTTGTTTGGATTTCTGGCATGGAGTACAATACTAGCAGCTGTTTGCTCCCCCAGGCTGAGGTGAGGTGCAGTTAACATTTGTAAGGTCTGTTGCATCTATTTATTGTTGTTACATTATTTAATTGTTCATTCAGTGTTTCAATATATACATCCAATATATATGTGTATGCCTTGTATGCCTCTCAAACATAAGCTACCCCCTTAGCTCCTAAGTCCTGCCCCCTCTGCAGTCCCTCCACAAAGCATCCACCTGACCTTCTCAAGCCTAGCAAGTGGAATGCAGAGTGTGCTCAAGTATCTGCTTCCAGAATTGTAAGAGTGCAGAAACTTGCTTGCATCATTCTGTATAAATAAACACAAAGAAAAAAAATCTCACCTTTTTCTCCGTCTCCTTATTCTCTTCCATCCCCCAGCTATTTGGCAAGTATCTTTGTCTCCTCTTCTCTTCTCTTCTCTTCTCTTCTCTTCTCTTCTCTTCTCTTCTCTTCTCTTCTCTTCTCTTCTCTTCTCTTCTCTTCTCTTCTCTTCTC